GTCCAAATCATGGTCACAGTCATGCTCCATCCACTGGCTTTTCCAGTCCACTCTTTCCAACAAATATTACCCACTAGGCCCTGGCTGCAAACGACGACCCTGGTCCCCGACAATGGGAAGTATTTAACTGTAACAGTGTATGACAGAAACGTCAGAATAATACATCAAGGTGTGGGGGAAATACACCTAAAGGGGTCGCTTCTGATATCACAAGAGCGGAAGGATCCACGCAGGGGTAAGGTGGTCCTGAGCTCCATCCCTGGGCCCCACATGGTAGAAGGAGAGAATGGACTCTCACATGCTGTCCTCTGACCTTTCTGTGTGCACCTGGCATGCGCCCACACCCCACAAAATAAATACATGTAATCCAAAAATAAAAAACCAAATGATGTAAGGTATATTTTAAGAATATCCGCTCTTAGCAGGGGTGATGATGGCTTAGAGACATGTGACAACAGTCATGAGAGGCTGGAGAGATAGTTTAGCAGAGAAGAGCCAGAGGGCCTGGGTTTAATCCCCAGCACCCACATAGAGGCGCAAACTGCCTGTAACTTCAGTTCCGAGAAATCTGATACCCTGTTCTGGCCTCTGAGCTCCAAGCTATCCAGAGCTACATGGTAAGACCCTGCCTCAAATAAATAAACAAAACAAAAAGCATAGCTAAGAAAATACTGCTGAGAGTAAAAGTCCCACATATTGGAGAGCAAGTATTTGTTATGTACCTGGACGCTGTTAGAGGATACCAACCAAGCCACTCTGATCCCTAGAGCCTGGCTGTGCTTCTCACACAAGGCTTTTGTTGGCAGCAGGAACCATCTTCCTAAACCAAGGAGAAAAGCACCAAAAACAAGCAGACAAGACCCAGAGTGACAATGATACCCCAGTCACAGCAGAGTAGAACACAGGTGACATCATTGGCTATGCTGACTCGGGTAAAACCCTGCCACACCCCATCTAGTTTCCTATCCTTCTTCAGAGAGCAAGTCATGGCCGACAACCCCAGTCCAGGTGGGCACTGATGGCACACACCTTTAATCCCAGCTCTTGGGAGGAAGAGGCAGGAGGAGGATCTCTGAGTTCGAGGCCAGCGTGGTCAAAGAGTGAGCTCCAGGGCTATATAGAGAAACTCTGTCTTGAAAAACCGAAAGGAAAAGAAAGAAAATCTCAGTCCGACCTGACCTCAACCTTGGTGGAGCTGGAACCAGGTGAAGCAGCTGTCCTCGAGGAAGCACTGGGCCTCACAGTGCCTCCAGCTGTCAACAGGGAAGGAGCCAGCTCCTGACCTAAGGCACCCGGTAGAGGCGGTCCTCCTGGAGAGCAGCTCCAATGTCACTGGGATGTCACCTGACTGTATCCTCTCACAGGCACAGCTTGTCTGTCCCACCAGTCACGGCTTCCTGTGTTAGGGAGACAGTGACACTGGAGAACCAGATGGGTGTCTAGGAAAATGGCAGCACCCCAGGCTTAGTTGGGTGGAATGAAGGCAGGCATTTCAAGCCGGTGGGCAGTTAGATCAGCTGTTCCAGATAGATGTGTGCAAGGGCATAGGAGCATACAGGGGAGGGGCTCCGGGCAAAAGTCAGGGACTGTGGCCAACTACAGGAGTGAGAACAGATCAAAGGGACAGACCACGAACCTGCCAGAGGGATGATCCCAAAGAGCCACGGAGCCACGTGGAATCCATGCCTGAGTGCCCACTGGCTCACCCTGAATGGTGGACAAGCAGGATGAGCCAGGGAAGCCTGGGGCAAACACACGTCACATATGGGAACTGAACGGGGGCCATGTGTGGAGTGATGATGGTGACGGAAAGGGGAAGGAGCTGAAGCATACTAGAGAGAGGGCCACGGGAACTGTGTGGAGGGAAAGGGGACTTCCGGGCACAACGGAGTGACGCTCGGGAGACAGACAGGACATGAAGGCAGCAAGGTCCACCCTAGATGGAAGACAAAGTGGGGGCCCAGCTCATCCCAGAGGACGGGGGACAACAGTGTCCATAGCTTGTTTTATGCATGCAATGGTTTAACACTGCCAGCATTAGGATCTAAAATCACCTAGGAATGATGAAGCTTCTAGACTGGGTTTACTGATGGGGAGAGCCAATCTAATGGGGGTATCACCGTTGCACAGACTGTATAAAAATGAGTTGAGCACCAGCATCCGTCTCTGCTTCCCGAGAGCAGATCCGATGTGAGCAGTGGCCTCGTGCTCCTGCTGTCACGAATGTGCCATCAGGAAGGACTGTAAGCTCAATGACCAGAACAAATCTCCCTTTCTTAAGTTGCTTTGGTCAGTACTTTGTCACAAGAAAAGGAATGAATACAGTGTGTGGGTTCCTGTGCTTAGCTCTGGGCTGGGAGCCTTCTTGGCCTCCTACAGGCCTGGCCACCTTTGTGTCCTCGGCACTCCACCCCTCTCCAGGTGCGGAAGTTGACAGCTTAGGTATCTTAAGAGGCTGGTCAGACCAGGTTAGCCAGTATCGCCTGCCTTGGTCACCTTTATCGCTGTCTGGAGTTATCCCCAAGCCCAGGCTGACCCCCATGTCAACACTCACATTGGCCCTCCCCCAGGCACTTCCGGTCCATCTGGCCACACCTCCCTCCATCCTTGTGGTCCGTCCCAAAAGTATTCTTCCTACCTTGGAACTGTCAGCTCTTCCTGAGGGCTCCTCTGCTGCCAGCAAGCCATCTGCTTAGCTTCACATTCATACCAGAGCCAGCCAGGGTTTGGAAAAGTGGCAATAACAGGGTGATCATAGTACCCTTTGTCACCACTGGGCCCCTGAAGTGTGTCAGCCTGGCGGCTGCTAACACTCACTAAATGCTCCTCTGGTTTGTGGCCAGCAGTGGCTTCCTCCTCTCACCCAGGTTGGCTTTTCTGTTCTCATCCTGACTTATCTGGATAAACAGCTGAGAACACTAAGCCAAAGACCAAACTCTTCATGTCTGCTTAGACAGGAAGCTTCCAGAAGCTCCTAAAGGAGGCACAGAGGTGCCAAGTCAACATGGCCCTGCGGACTGGCACCTGGAACAAAAGCCACTAAATTGGAAGCTGCTTCTGCCCCAGCAACTGTCCAGACCTGAGCATAGGTTCACAAGGTTGGCTTTCCTAACTGGAACCCTCCCGTTCACAGGCACCCTGGGAGGGACCTGTGTGATCCCAACTTTCAGGACAGATGCTCTGTGGGGAAAAAACACTGAGGCTGGGATGGACACTGAAGACCCCGCCCGCAGCTTCCATGCCCACTAACAAAGCCCTGTGTCAATGGGAGAAACCCAGTCCACACAAAACACAAGTGTCTTGTCACCATGACCCCAGCCTGTGGCTGGGGAGGCTACTGGGACTTCGGGCCACCACAAGGTCCGAGACTGTACAGTACTATCCTTGGAACATAACAGCTACTGTCAGAGTTGGAGCAACTTGCAGAAGACCCTCATGATGGGGGAGGTCCTTCTGCACATGTTTCTCTTATTGGTTGATGAATAAAACAGTTTGGCCAATAGAGGCAGGACTAGATGAGAATTCTGGGAAAGGTAGGCAGAAAGAGACACCATGTAGCTGCCAAAGGAGAAACAGGTGTGGGTATTCTCCGGTAAATTAAGACCACATGGAAATACATAGATGTATAGAAATGGGTTAATAATTAAGACAGAGCTAGCCAATAAGAAGCCATAGCCACCAGCCAACAGATTTATAATTAATATAGCATCCATGTGTTCATTTGGGGTCGAGGGCAGCAGGAGCTGGCAGGATAAGAATCTCCAGCTACAAAATGGTGCTCACATGTGGGGCGAGATTTTTCACGTAAAACCTGACAAAAATTTAAAAAGGGATTCAAAACAAAAGAAACACCAGTAACACCCTCAAACTCGAGTCGGTTGACCGCTGACAACCCCGAAGTATGAACTAAGGAGCATCACTGGACTCTCAGGTCCACCTCCTTCCCACCCCACCCCCTGAGCACTGTATGTAGCTGCCATAACTGCACACGAACTTGTGGTCTCGGGACTTGCTAGAGCACACACGCTATGGAGGGTTGGCAGAGGGTGGGGAGTCATCGTCCATGCCTGAGGTGTGGCTGCCTTGTAGTCACTCATGTAGGCAAATCCAATAAACGTTCTGGTCCCCACAGTTGGTGTAGTTTTTCCATGGTTTGTCACTGGTGTCCCGTGAGGTGGTGGACACTTGTTTATGTCTTCCCAGAAAGTGTTCCCCACAGCAGATGGTGACAACATCCTCTCTGCCTGCATGTAGTCAACTCAGATCCAAATCTTTATCCAGCCCTATTCTCGCCATCCGTGATGCAATCTCACAGGCTCTCAGCAAGAGAAACATACCTTAGTAGAAGGGCGTGGCTCTGAGTTTCCTTTCTACAGTATTCATTTAAAAATCACCCCCAACGTTTACAGAACCAGAGTTATTTTCCCCCCTCCCACCCACCTCCAGACAGGATTTCTCTGTATAACGGTGCTGGCTGTCCTGGAATTCACTTTGGAGACTAGGCTGCCCTGGAACTCAGAGATCCACTTGCCTCTGTTCCCAAGTGCTGGGATTAAAGGTGTGTGCCACCACTGCCTGTCCATCTTCATTTTTTTTTTTTTAAGATTTACTTATTTATTATGTGTACAGTGTTCAGCACCAAATCTCATTACAGATGGTTGTGAGCCACCATGTGGTTGCTGGGAATTGAACTCAGGACCTTTGGAAGAGCAGGTAGCAGCCCTCATCTTCATTCTTAAATTTAAACAAATACAACTATGGGATAAATTTAAATATAGTTGTTTAAGTATTTTTATTATTTTTCTGAAATATATGCCCAAGATGGCCTGTAACTCCTCTGCTCAAACTATGATGCTCTCTGAGAGTGAAGCATGGAGACACACCCACCTTACCTGGGGAGGCAGCCTGCCATTGCTGGGATGCATTTTTTTTTTTTTTAAATGAAAGGAAAAAGCAGACACAGAAAGAAATCACAAAAAACAAACAAACAAACAAACCAAAAAAACCCAAATGCATTGCTTTATTGCACCAAGATCTTGGCACTATCTGGGGGCTCCTGAAGAGGAAATGGAGAGTGTGGGGACCCCTGTACACATACAGATGCAGCCACACAAGGATTAGGATGAGAACAGCCCCCTAGCGACAGGCAGGTGAGCGAGAACAGAAACACCAGGGAGGTGGCCCTCTGCACATCTACTGCCAAGCACAGAGTTCAAACTGATGTGATGATCCAACCAAACGGCCACTTTTAGAAAAGCTTCAGTTATTTATGTCAGTACATGTCACCTAGACCTTTGATGATTTCTCCGGGCCCTATTCTACCCCTAGCCTGTTTCTAATGACTTCTAAGGAAGGAAAGGACTTGCCTCCACTGGCAGCAATACATAGAAGTCAGGATGTCAGTTGGGGGAACCATGCTACTCAAGACACAGTGGAAGAGATTTTGCAATGGATACTCTAGTAGACAAAGGAAGAAACCAATGTAGAGGAGACATGAGGGACACATCAGCTTCTACACAACTAGAGAATGTCACAGGAAATAACTGATACAGGAGCAAACGACAATCCCTGCCCATGAAGGTGCCTGCCTCCCTCCAAGACATGGCGCCTGCATATCCAGAACCCGGCCCACCCAACACTGATCACATTCAGCTGGAAGACTCAGCCAGCAGATCCACCATGGAACTGCTGCTCCCTCCCTTTAGAAATGAAGGGAGGGAAACAAACACCCACATGGAAACATGACCTTACCCCTCCACACAGAGAACAAAACTTTTTCCACATCTGCAGCAAGTGAGGCCCTGATTGGGCCCCTGGATAAAATGCTATGTGTGGAATTGACAAGGCAGTCCCTCCCCTCCCAAGAGGCCCAGACTGAGGAGGCCAGCCCAGAGCAGCCTAGACTCTGGGAAACAAGAGAGGCGCCTCATGAGGAAGAACCTTCTGGAACCTTCCATCTCCTGGGTGCTGTTCTGTCTTCCCTTGGAAACACCACCCTCACTAAGGAGTCTTGTTTGTTAAATCCTAAGTCTGCAAGGACAGTTTGAGCAAGACAGGAAAGGACTGTGAGTCGTACAATCATCTCAATTTCAAAGCACTCAGAAAATTGAGCAAATAAAGCCAGTATTTGCATATCAGGGAAACATATTGCTACTGGAAGCCACAGGCCTGGTCAAAAATAAATGCTTTATCATAAGTAGTAAAATAACGGAGAATTCATCTCCAAAGACCACCACCTTGACAGAGACCGGCAGGTTAGTGCAGATGCAGGAGAAGCTCATCAAAGCCACCTGGGCAGGGACAGCAGCCTTAGAAGCAGAGGCACAGAGTTCAAGGCCTCCTGTGTCTGCAGCTGCTGATCTCTAGAAGGTGTGGAGTCCTTTTGAGGAGATGCACTTGGCAGTGGGGGACAACACAGTCACCAGGGGTTCCTCCTCACTGCAGCTGACAGTCAGTCATACAGAGGCCCCTCTGAGGAGAGGCCCACAAGACAGCTCCAGCAGGAGAGCAAAGGAGGGCTCACCAGAAGAGGCACTAACATGCCACCATCCTGAGTGAAGGCCATGCTGGGAGATGCTGGCCCCAGTCTCTTGTCTCTGACAGCCCCAGACCAGTAACAGAGGGGTTTTCCTACCTAGACCCCAGGGTCTATGAGGATGTCTCCTAGGTTACTGTCAGCATGATACCACAGGCCAGGCTTTCTCTTGTGAGGTTCATTATGAATGCCACCAGAGGCCCTGAGCTGAAGCCCCAGGGCTTCTACATTGGATGTCTGTGAACAGTGGCACCAGGAGTCTCTGCCATGGCAGGTTCACAGTGCAGTGGAGCCTACACAAGGCTGCTCCTCAGATCCAAGTGGACAGTTCCCAGGATGTGACGTGACAGCTCTGGGGTGCAGTGGCGCAGGCACACTGGTCTTCCTGGTGAGAAGAGAGACCACGACAATCCTATGACATCCCTGGGTCAGTCACACCTACAGAAAGACACAAGACACACACATCAAACTCATGCACCAGACACACAAGACATTTACAAAACACATCACACATATACATCACATGCATTATACACACACACACCCCAGAACACATACTGAATGGTCACAAACACCAGACATACCACAGGCCACACATACCACATACATACCACAGACAGACAGACACCACAGACATATATATACACATATATATCTCACACTGCAGACACACAGGACAAACACCACAGATAAACACATACAACAGACCAGACTACACATGGTACACACACACACACCAGATAGACATGACAGAGCTACATACCAATGTACACACCAAATACACAGACATACATACCATAGGCAGATGCAGACCACAGACCACCACACACAGCAGACAGACACACAGCCAAGCTGACCTCTGACAAACTCAGCAAGCTCAGCGGCGATAGCTGAGGCTGGCAACTTTAGCAGGATGAGTCACAGACCAGAAGTTCCGTCTACTCTGGAGCTTCTGGAAGGCATTGACGTTTCTCTTCTTTTCTCTCTTGAACTTTTTAATTTTCTTTTCCTACAGGAGGAGTCACAGTGTCACAGTTCCCAGACAGGGCTCCTCCAAGCCTTGCAGGCTTCTTGCTGCCATACATGGCATTTGCCTTCCAGACACTAGTGCAGTTACCATGCATGGACAGCGCCCTCTGCGGGAGCTCCTGTCACCCTCACCTTCCTGAGGAAGAGACCCACACCTGCCCAGGGTACTGGATGCACAGGAGAAACAGACCAGCGGGAGGGAACCCAGGAGGCTGACTCCATCCTGGCCTCAACTGAACTGGGTGAAGCAGCATCACAAAACGCTTTCAAGTGGAGCCGTGCCCACCCATGGTCACAGCCGCACACCATACCTTCCCGCGATCGAACTCCTCATCCCAGTCGTCAAGCACAGTCTGGGTCCGGGCCAAACGGCTGTCTTTGATGGCATCCTGACTGACCGCTGAAGGCTCACCATCCCAGGTCAAAACTGTACAAGAGATGTTCTGTCAGTGCCCATGGGTCCCAGTCACCCTGCAGACTCTCCTCAGGGCTCCTTTACCACCAAGGCCCATCTACTCTAGCCACTGCAGGGTTCTGATGGCCCCTTAACAGAACAAACATGAGGGGGAGGACACATAACTTGTGGGTGTGATCACTGTGAGCTCCAATTCCAACTGCAAACTTCCTCTCTCCAACCTGTGTGCTCACTTCTTGTTCATGCTCCAAGTCTGCCTTGTAAAACACGGTCCAGGTCGGAAGTGCCAACACTAGAGCTGGCGGGCGTCATCCCCTGGCCCTTCTGAACTAGGCCCTGGGACATCCTGCTCAGCTGACCCAGGGTTTGAGCTCCCTACTTTGTCCTGCTCTTGGGCCTCCAATCTTCTGGGTCCATGGACACAATCTGCCTTTCTGCCTCTGCATGGGTCCCCTTAAAGCATATCCAGCAACTGTTTAAGTTTATAAACCTGAGCAGTGTGATCTCCACATCTCAGAGCACACCAGAATCCCCGCCCCCCACAACCTAAATGAGTCAGTCCTTAGGAAGCGACAGCCCTGCTCAGACCCATACCTTTTTTCCCATAAGCCTTATCAGACGAGTCCTGGAGCAACTCCTGAACCACATCGGGTTCTTGATCTCTGTTCCAGGCAACAAGAGGTGCTTGTCCCAGCCCTGCAATCAGAGGACACACTAAAACCAAATCACTGTAATGGCACCACAGAATGTGCTGGCAATAGATGCTCACTTCCCAGTGGTAATGCTACCCCACTGTTCAAGTCCATTCAAACAAAAAGCCAGAACCGAGACCCGATCCTCAGTCTGACAGAATGGGTGGCTAGCTCTAAGTGGAACCTACCTAGCCAGCCACAAAGGGTCTGCTGCAGCTGAGATCTTCAAGCCACTGGGTGCTTGCCCTCCCTGGGAAGAGTAGAACCACACCCACCCTTTCTCTCTCTCTGGCCTTCTGACTATACGTGAGCAGCTCTGCTCTGCCATGAGCCACTGATGACCTGCACTACAGGCCCAGAAGTGCAAGGTGGATGGAGCCTAGACTAGAGCCTGCCCTTCCTCCCTTCCTCCCTCCCTCCCTACCCACCCCCTTTCCAGACACAACAAC